GCATGATAGTCAGATGTTTATTCTTTCACTTCATTCATTCAACATTAATTAATTCATTAATTCAACATTAATGAATTCATTCAACAACTTAATTGAGAGCATGTGAAAGCCAACATGCTAGGTGTGCTGGGAACACAGTGAGAAATTAGCAATGTCTCTTTCCTGAAAGAGTTCAAATGTTAAGGGAGAAGACAAAGATGTCCATAAACTATTAGATAACAGAGAGAGAACTTATTCAACTGCTTAACCATCAGTCAGTGAAGATAACCATCATAAAGGACCTCTTTGGGACAGCTATGTTCAACCAAGGGCAGAGGCCCAGAACTGCAGATGGTTGGATAGAAGCATCAACACTGACAAGTACAGACTGATGCCCAGAAGCTGCTTTATCCCTAAATTTTCAGGGCCACATAAACTGGACTTTTGTAGGATCCAATTAAAGGAAGGGGAATTCCTGGTAATGACTGATACTGGTTTTGCCAGCCCTTGACACCTAGGGAGTCTCAGTCAAATTTAATTTGATTCAAGCAAGAAAGGTGACATTCTTGCACTCAAGTGTCATGAAGCAATTTAAACCAGTTAAAAATGCTTATATTTGACTGGTACACCATGTGATCCTCAGCCTATACAACTATGAGACCAGAAGAACTAGATGGTGCCTGGCTACCACTGTCAACCACTCAGAGGGGGATCTCTGTAGAAGATCCTGGGTAGAGTGGGAGAACGATGTGGGACAAAACTCAAAATCATTTTTTTTTTTTCTTTTAAAAAAAAGGACCAGGTTTGCTGGTCTGATAGAGCCTGGTGGAACCCCTAAGATGACAGACCCTAGCTGCCCTTCAGGTCTAGAATTGAACTCGCTCCTGGGCCGCCAGCCGAATTGGGGACAGGCATATTTACATTAGGTAGATACACCCCTTGGAGAGATCAGTCATGGGAGAATAGGAGGGCTGTGTATGCACAGGGAGACAGCTAGGAGGGCAGAAGTGCATGGAGGGAAGGGCACAGGGAAGAGGTAACCATGGGGAGGAAGTAGGAAGAGAGCTGCTGCATTGTGGGAAATTGTAGTCCATATCTTGAGACAAAGTGTATGGGAACTGCTGTACAGAAAATGAATTTGCTCTGTAAACTTTCACCCAAATCAGGAAATTTTTTTTTTAAAAAAAAGTTACAAAGAGGTAAAAAAAAAAAAATGCTTTTATTAATTTGAAAAATGTTCATAGGGAACACACAGACCCTTCAGAATATCTTTGTAGATTCTTAGGGAGGGTCTTTGACCCAGCAAGAATAAAATACCATAGGTGGTAGTTTACTTTGTAATTGTGCAACATTGTCATGAGGTTAAGGAGCTCTGGTGGCAGAGTGCCTAAGGCATTTGACTGCTAACCAGAAAGTTGGTGGTTCAAACCCACCAAACGCTCTGCAGAAGGAAGATGGGGCAATCTACTTCCATAAAGATTTGTTGTTGTTGTTGTTGTTATGTGCTGTTGAGTCGGACTCGACTCATAGTGACCCCTCCTTGGGTAACCGAGGCAGTATCTCTATGGAAGTAGATTGCCCAACCTTCCTTCAGAGGAGTGGCTGGTGGGTTTGAACTGCCAGCCTTCTGGTTAGCAGTCAAGTGCCTTCAGCACTATGCTACCAGAGATTTACTCCCTTGGAAACCCAGTGGGGGCCACTATGAGTCGGAATTGACTTAACAGCAGTGGGTTTGGTTTGGTCTTTTGGGTTATCGTGAGCCTTGCTACCACAAGAAAAGCCAGCCTGAGGATAAAGTAAACCTGTAAAGAAGAGCAAGAACAAGAGAAAACAAGAAAATGAATGAAATAAAACCCTGATCAAACCCAGCCTGAAGCTCAGACAGAACTCATACCAGGCAAACTTCCTTTCAGCATAATGACCTTGCCTCATTAGAAAATTCACAAGGAAGAACTCAAATTGATTCAGCCTCAGTCATGTGCCCATTTCAGTAGTCTGGAAGAGTGAAGTACCATGACTCAGCCACCAGTGGGTGAGGCAAAGCTTCCCAAAGGAGGAAAGAGTGTTGGCCCAACAAAAACCACAGAGGGCAAAATCTTTGGACATCTAAACTTCTGTAGACATGTATTCATGTACAATATTGCCTCTATGGATGGTTTCAATAAATAGTTACTGAATCAAACTGAATGTGCAGGTCTGCCTAGTAGTCTGTCGTGTTATAACATTTCTAGGGTGAGTTTGGATAATTGGCAAAAAGTATTGATATGGTTTCCTCACAACAGAGTGGATTTCTTTAGAAAGAGATCCACTGGTACCCCTTGGAGAAAGAAGGGACAATGGCAACTTGTTACCTCAGGCGTCCTCAGCTCTACCGATACATTTATTGTTCAATCCTTTAAGTCAAGTGGCTTGATACAATAGTACTCAGTTACTACCACCAGAATCTGATCTCTAAACAATATAATGTTGTACCAAATATTAAAATATGTATAAAAATGTGAACATTAATTATGCATCAAGTGGAAAAAAATCTGATTCTTCTTGAAGTGGTGTCAATATATCAAAATGCTTGAAGAGTTCAACAGTGGTACACAAACTCAACAGTTAGAAAGTCCCAGTATTATATACACTTGGTATTAAAGAAAAGCCGAGGAAGTGAAAATAGAACAATAATTTAAAAAAAAATTCCCATTAGTTAACGAAATTCCCCTAAGGAAATTTAGGGACTTTAAAATTCCTAACTCTAGTTTCCCCTCTAAATTTAAGTTCTTTACATTAGTGTCTTCTTACTCATACAGAAAAAGAATGCCAATAGTTGCATGCAGATGGTGTGACTGAAAGTTATATTAGTAAGTATACATTTGAAAAAAGAAAGAAGATTCCACACACCTTTGAAAAAAAATTTTTTCCTCCTCTGGGAATGCGAATGAAGATGCAACACTGAGTTGTCCACACTCAGTTCAGACCCTGACTGAAGCCTAGGCTGATTCTAGGGTCAACTGAGGCTTCTGCCACAGTAGGACTAAGAATGGAGTCTCACAGGCATTGTATATGAAGTCACAAGGCACTCAAATTGTATTTTAAAAAAGCCTGCTATCTTGTTCAGCTATCTGTTCAAGTTTTTCCTTATTCCATTAATGGCTGAGTTCACCGGTTTCCTTAATAACTTCCTCCAACCTTCCAGAATGTATTTCCTTGTATCTAAGGAATATATCCAGGCCAGTGATGCTCCAACTTTTTTGTCTCTTCCTTTACCTTTTCAAAAATAACTGAGGATTCCAAAGCACTTTGCCCTATCTGAAATTAACACTCAGAAGGGAATAGCAGATATGAGAGCCCTGACAGGATAGAAGTTCTAGTACCAGACCTCCTCAGTTAGTCTTCAGCTATATAGCGGTTGCTACTGAGTAGACCCCAACTCATGGCGACTCCACTTGTGTCAGAGTAGAACTGTGCTCTATAAGGTTTCCAGTGACTGATTTTTCGGAAGTAGATCAGCAGGCCTTTCTTCCGAGGCACCTTTGGGTAGACTCCTCCTTTTCATTAACATGTTTAGCAGCCAAGCATGTTAACCTTTTGCCCCACCCAGTAACTCTTTAGCTAACTAAAAAACCAATCTCACTGCCATCCAGTCGATTGATTCATAGCGACCCCTTCTTGGGTTTCGGAGGCGTTATCACTAAAGTAGAGTGCCCAGTCTTCCTTCCAAGGGGTGGGTGGTGTGTTTGAAACCCCAGCTTTCTGGTTAGCAGTGAAATAAATGCCTTAGGCATTAGGCCACCAGAGCTCCCTCCACTGCTTTTCCACATTACCTGAGGAAGTAAATGCCCCTTTCACAAGTTTGATCTGATTAGATTACTGCCACAAAGGAATGAAAAAGGCCTGAATACACTCCTAAACAATTAAAGAATTAGTTCAAGACAGTGAATAATGAAGGATTAAATTAATATAACAGAATACTGTTTGCCTTTTTCACCTCCCAGTAAAAGTTTACTAAGGAATGAAGAAGGTGATTGCCACTAACATTTCTGCAGTACCCTACAAGTCTCAAAAGTGTTTTCATCGTCATCAGTTCATTTAATTTTCACTACAACCCTACGGAGGATGGGTAGATTGCTTATACCCATTTTACAGATGAGAAAACTGAGGTGCTGAGAGGCAGGGTCACTTGTCACAGCGATTACGTGGCTGAGCCAAGCCAAAAATCCAAATTTTATTCTCTGAATTCCTATGGTCATCACTCACATGACGCTTGCAATTTTGTAGGGCACAGGTTTGTAGTATAAATATTATTTTCAATCACAGTTTTTTTTTTTTTTTTAAATCAGTTTTCTTGGTATGTTTGTGTGGAGGGGAGGGGAAGTTTTCTGCATAGCAGAGCCACTAAAATGCTCAAAATATTTGGTTCTGGATTGTGAGACGTGAAAAAGGGAAAGCCGGTGGGGGCTAAGAGGTGTAGGTGGGCAGGATCAGAGAAGGATAATAAATCCTACAGATACCCGCAGGCTGCACCACAATAGCCCGAAAAAAGAAAGACTCTAAGCTCCAGGTCCAAACGGAAGAGATGCGGGAACCGCGGGATTCAGATTCCCAGGTCCTTGATTTGAAAAGCGCCCGCACACAAAGAAACCATGAAGTTCAGTTCCGGCGGCGCAACGCTCAGAGTTTGTATCCGGGATTCCCCTCCCAGCTCTAGCGGAAACGCCCAGTCCACCGGGTCACCCAGCCGAGAACTGATCTTCTTTTATTCACTGATGAGGAATAGATAGCCCGCGCCGGGCACGCCCGAGACTCTTTAATGAAACTACAAATCCCATGAAGCTTTTGGGGCTCAAGAGGTGATGACGAAGCCCTTGCGGATTGGCCTCGGGGGGCGGGGCGCGCAGGCCTTCTCCGAGAGGCGGGGCGGGGCGCTGGGCGCGGGGCGGGGCGAGCGGTGGCGGCTCGGCGGGCACGCCCCCTCTCCCGCTGCCCCCTCCTCGCCTCTCTCAGTCGCCTCCTCTTGCTCTCCGGTCAGAAGGCCGGAGCGAGAAGATGGCGAAGACTTACGATTATCTGTTCAAGCTGCTGCTGATCGGTGATTCAGGGGTGGGCAAGACCTGCCTCCTGTTTCGCTTCTCTGAGGACGCCTTCAACACCACCTTCATCTCCACCATCGGTGAGGGAGGGGCCGCGGTCCGGGACCGGGAGTGAGGAATGGGGGTCTGGAGCGAGGGGGCCAGGGAGAGGCGAGGGGCTTGGGATCTCCGAGGAGGGGATCCCGGGGGCGGTAGGAGGGCGAGGGCAGTGAGAGAGGGCGAAAGCGTGAGAGAGAGGGACAGGCGGGGACGTGGGGCTCCGGGTCTCGGAGGAACTTGGGGGCAAAGGAAGGGAAAGGGGAACCAGAGGAACAAGGACTAGGGATACTGGGGAAAGGAGAGGTCTGAGGGGTTGACAGGAAGGGGTCCTAGAAGGACAAAGTGAGGGGGACATAGGAGATCTCATGGGGAGAGGTAAGAAGATAGTGGGTGTGAAAATGAATTAAAACATAGCAAAGAGGAAGGAAATGTGAAGGGGGAAATGAAGGATTAGGGGAAATGGGGGGGGGACGTGAAGTAGAGGGACAGAGGACACAAGGGACGAGAGAGGTGAGAATCAGGCAGTGGGAAGGAATTGAGTGTAATGAGTGATCAGAGAGCACGGTTTCCAAGAAGTCTGGACAGAGATGTCATGGGAGGGGGCAGAAGAAAATTGTAGGTAGAAGAGTTCCGGGGATCAGAGGATGGAATAAGGATACTTAGTGGACAAAGTAAAGGAGAGCTGGGTTTGAGATAGAAAGGAAAAGGAGAAACAGGATATGTAGTAAAGGGAGATTGACACAGAAGACAGAGAAAATGGAAAAGAGAGGAAATGGAAAGCAGTGCAGCACAGGACTTTTCTCCAGTAACTGGAAACATTGGTTACCTTTTTCTCTCTCTGCTTTCCCTGGATCAAGTTCAGGAGAAAGAGCAAAAAGTGACTGATGATGGAATAACGTCTATAGAGGATAAAATTGTTCTGTGAGTGTTAATGGACGTTAAGGGAATTGGTGATTTTGGGGATGGTGTGGTCAGGAAACTCTGGTTCACCCTTTACTGCCTTCTCCTGAGAAGCAACACTTCTCAACTTTTTAAATACTTGAGCTTAAATGTTTTATAACTTCTCAGCCAACAAATTGATCCTACATTCTCCCCACCTCCCTGAATATTTTGTTTTGGTTCCAACTATTACTTGGTAAACCAATCACAATGTGCAACATACCCTTCCTCCCCTGCACCAATTACTTCCAATTGATTCCCCCCCCCCCCAATCTTAATTGGGAGCTGTCCTTCCACCTTTTTTGATGGAAACCATTGTGCTCAGGTAAATAAGATCTTGAACTTATAAACTGAAGAACAAATCAAAGTTGGTTTTAAACTGCCTATAGAAGTGATCTTAACCTATTTCCCTCACCAAATAGCTGCAGTTAATTAAGCGTCTTAAGAATCTCAGCTTTTGGTTGTCTGGGTGATGTTTGTGGCCTCTAATAGTAGCTCATTCAGGCATCTTTCCTATGGTTCTTACAGTGTGTCTTACCATGAATTTCTGGATTGGGGAATATTAGGGGGCTAGCCGTTCAAACCCACCAGCCACTCCTTGGAAGGAAGGTTGGGCAATCCTACTTCGTAGTGATACTGCCTCGGAAACCCAAGGAGGGGTCGCTATGAGTTGGGGCCGACTCGACGGCACATAACAACAACAACAACAGTGTTTTGGTAGTAAATGTGTTCAAATGTTTGTGTATTTAAAGCCTAATTTATCTTTTTTTCAAAAAGGATATTGAAGTAAAAAGCGCTCTTTAAATCAGGTGGTAGGAAAGGGTATGTTTTGTTTGTTTTTCCTTTTTCATATTGATTGGGTGGTTAGAAACCTCATGTGTGTTGTGATGTCTGGGCTTAGGGAAGTTTGAATTGCAAGTTGTTGGCAGTCAGTCTTCAGTGGGACTTTTCCTTCTCTGAGGAAGCAGATTTTAAATGTCATCTCTCAAGTATATTCCTAAGAGTTTTGGTGGGAGCTGGTACAGGAACTAAAGGGCACTGATTTTTGATGTAGGTGCTAATTTTGTCCCTTTTCATTATTGAATGCGTAATGTAGTACAAATGATCTTAAAGAACAATTTCTTTACAATTTTTATTGTGATTTGGATAAAAGTTTACAGAGCAAATTCATTTTCCATACAGCAGTTCATACACATTTTGTTTCATGACGTTGACTGCAATTCCCCACATTGTAACAGCTCTCTTCTCACTTCCTCCCTGTAGTTACCTCTTCCCTGTGTTAAATGACAATTTCTAGCAAGTTGAGTGAGTAGTCTTTTGTCTATTCTGTGCCTGACCTCCCAGAGTATTCTCCTGCCCTGAAAGTGAATGAATCTCGTAGGTGCTATTTCTCATGTGTGCTTGGATAACTTCAGCTTGTTTGCAACACTTCCATTAGTTTTCTCTTTTTTTTGCCTTAATTTTGTCCATCATTTCCTGTAAGAGTGTCTGTCTCCTTTTAAAACAGCAGCTTTGAAAAATTTTCATTCTGAAGTATTAAATCTTTTTTGAATGGATTTCTTTCTCCTTTTTTTTTTTTTTCTTTTTTAAATGATTGAAATGTGAGTTCTGTGGAGGGTTGCAGTTATTAAAGCATGAAAACCAGTGTCTGGAAACTGTTTAGAAAAGAAAGTAGTTGTTAAATAGGGTCAATCTCATATAAGATCTTGGTCTTTATATTTTCAGTGGGGTGGATGTGGTAAGAATAGGCTAAGAGCTTTGACAGGAAGTGGTGGCACACTGCCTTCAAACAGCAGAAGAATTTATATACCTGAAACCTAATTTTTTGCAATTGAAATGAAACTGGGAAAATGAGGTGAGTATTAACACCATTCTAGTGAAAGGTCCCACAGACTTTTCATTGCCCACAAACTTAGGCTTGGAATGTTAACATCTCTTGCAGCTATATCTACTCCCCGCAAGTCCCCCACCCTTATTCCCAGGTGATCTGAAGTTGTTGAGGTGAGAGTTAGTGATCCCTTTCCTCCTGAGTCGTAATTATTTCTTAAAGTAGCTAGGTGTGAGGTTCTTGGGCTTTTCTGACTGTGTTTTGACAAGGACTGCCACAGCATTGCTGACAACACTTGATAAGGTCTACGTCACAGGAAAGAATGCATTTCTGAAAGCCTTGGGTTTGCATATGTTTTGGTAGATATGTATATGTGCCTGTTTCCTCCCATGAAGATACATTTTAAGCCTTAATTTCGCTTTGTCAAAGTTTAAATAGTTATAAAAGGGGGCATCTGCCATCTTTAGACACTGTTTTGATAGGAATTCTGCCATCATGAAAGGAAGACAGTAATTTTGATTCCAGATACACGTCTCACAGATGCTTTCTGCTTCTCACTTCTCTGAGGTCTTGCTATCTTTTCTCAAACCTGGTCCCCTCATTGCCTTATTGTCTTTCTGGTCTTGGGAGTAGGGGTGGGGTGGATTTCATTTCCTTTGACTTACTGAGGATCTTCTAGTCCATTAGTCAGATAATATTTGTTAACTATGGAATACCAAAACCAAAACCAAACCTACTGCCATTGAGTTGATCCTGACTCATAGTGACTCCTATTGGGTTTCCAAGGCTATAAATCTTTACAGAAGTGGATTGCCTCATCTTCCTCCCTCAAGCAGCTGGTGAGTTTGAACTGCCAACTTTCTGGTTAGCAGCCAGATGCCTTAACCACTATACCACCAGAGCTCCGTAACTATGGAATAGGACTGTTTTATCCATTTGAATAGATAGTCCCAGTGCCTAGGACCAATGAGCCTTTGAATTCAAATGTTTGAGACTGGAAGTTTTTTGATTAGCCAAAACAAAACAGAAACCACTTACATAATCAAAATTCAAGTTTAATTAAATGTCTGTAAAATGTAACATTAAGATAATTAGGAAATGGTAATACGATTAGCTCTGTGTGTGTGTGTGTGTGTGTGTATGTATTTGTTGTTGTTATGTGCTGTCGAGTTGGACCTGACTCATAGCGACCCCTTCTTGGGTTTCCGAGGTGGTATCATTATGGAAGTAGATTGCTCAACCTTTATATATATATATATTTATATATATGGGATGTGGGTGCATTTTAATGTTGATGTGAGGGTGAATTGACGTCATGGAATGGCCCTGTACCAATCAAGGTGCTGGTAGAACTAAAGAGAAAACCCAGCTCTGTTCTTTAATGGGACAATTTAATCTTTTTCCCTTTGCCATCTCTGTCCAAACCCTGCCCCCTTCTTCCTGTTAGGGTATTTCCTGAGTGGGTTCACTATGTAATTTAGTCATAGTTTGACAGCAGAACAGGCCTTAGAAGTTATCTTTTTTATGCCCTGTCTCAATTTTGTAAATAAGAAATGAAACTTAGGGTGATACCCTCAAAATCACACAGCAGAGCCTCTAGGGAAACCCGAAATCCAAGGCTGTGTTACTTTTCAAAATGCTGAGCTGCTGCTATTTCTGATCAGTATGATCATGTTCATAAATTCAAGTCACTGCCTTATCCAGGAGTAATTAGATTTTGCTCGCACATGAGGAAAGTTAAGATGGTCCTTCTTGATTAGCCAAGTCTGTTCTGGTACATTGTATATGCTAATACAATGACTCAAAGTCTTAGTAGGAGATTATGCTGGGATAACACGTAACTATCCTTTGCCCTTTCTTTCTTTGTCTGTAGTTTCAGGTTAAAAGATCAAAGTGTATCCTGGTATTAAAATTCCTGCCAAGTGCAAAATAACTAATAAAATCATATTAATAGCAACATATTGGTAGTTGTTGAAGCCTAGTCTGGTGAGAAGGGAGCTCTGGTGGAATAGTGCTTAAGGCATTTGGCTGCTAACCAGAAGGTTGGTGGTTTGAACCCCCCATGGAAGAAAGATGAGACGGTCTGCTTCCATAAAGATTTATACCCTTGGAAACCAAATGGGGTTACTATGAGTCAAAATCAACTCAGTGGCAGTGAGTTTGGTTTTATTGGTTTAGTCTCATCAGAAAGAACCCTGGTGGTGCAATGGTTAAGTGCTTGGCTGCTAACCAAAAGTCTGAGGTGGGAACCCACCAGCCTCTCTGCTCTGCAGG